GTTAGGTTGTAAAAAGGCACCTCGGTTATAGGGGGGTAAGGAAGCCTTCTGCCGGAATCGGACCGGCGACCTTTCGCTTACTAAGCGAATGCTCTGCCCCTAAGCTAAGAAGGCTGACGACAGCCGGTGCACAACCTGAGGCTACTTCACAGATTGAAGAAGCCTCGCGCACAAATAAAAAGCTTCTCAACAAGCGGAGCAACACGCGGAAGAAACGCAGAATAAATTTCCAAGCGAATGCTCTGCCCATAACCTAAGAGGACTGACGGACGACTGCTGAGGCTACTTCACAGATATGTGAGACCTGTCGGGCAAGGATTGACACCCACTTGTTGCGCCTGTGCGCTTCGAGAGGTGAACCAGTGGGGGTGAAACGAGAATATTGAGAACGAAAGACAGAGCGAAAGGTCGTTGCCGCAATATTACGCTTGTAATATTACGAATTTTGGACTCGCCCGACTGGTATGAATTTGGGCGTCTAGCTCAAATGGTAGAGCGCTCGCGTCGCATGCGAGAGGTACTGAAATCGATACACGGGTCATCCAGTGTTTCAGCGTAACGAGTCACGAACCTGCGGCTGTTATCAGAATGCAGAGGAGTTTTTTGGTTTGAGGTTTTCTTCTTTTTTTCTCCACCTCACTCAACCGTGCTGGCTCGTAAACGGGCTCTTTTCCTTCTACTCGTCATCACGCACTACCTCGGAGCCTCGTCATCATGCATTCACTCGCTCTTCCTTCTTGGCTCTTCTTCTATCAAACACGACCACTCGTTCGCGGCTCGACCGCTGGATGATCGAGCACGCTGCTGCAACAACAGCTCCACACGCAAAGGGTGCGTGCGATTGCTCGTACGTCCCGTTTACGGCACCTGTTGTGCGGCTGCTGGCCACCCATGAGGTGGTATCGTTTGTGCTGGTTGGTACGATCCGGAGCAAAGGCAGGAGTAGGAATCCGACCCATGACGCTGAAGCCGTCGCAGATACGCGAACCCGATGCCGTGACAACCGGCAGAAGAGATGGCACCAACAACCGATCAGAATGCCTCCGTAAACCACTGAGACAGGCCTCCGGAGGCAATCGCCTGGAGTGAACGCTGACGGCAATACCTGCGACGACTTCAACGCGACGATTCGGTTCCCGCTCCTGCTCTCGACCACACCACAACTCCTGCCATCGCCCCATGCGGTGCCGCCAAGCGTTTGTTGTGGGAGCGCTGGGTGTGTAACTGGTGTGGGTGTGTAGGGTGGGTAACTGATGGCCACCGGAAGTGACCGTGCCATCTCCAGCATGGACAATATATCAGTGCCTCATTGGACGACTTGGGTATCAGCCCGACACACAGCGCTCCACCATTCGAGCAAATCGTGACGAGGCGTGTGGAGTGCGATGGTATGCGGCCGTGCTATCTCCTGCACGGACATATATCCGCTGCGACCTGGCGAATCGACAAATGCACCGAAAGTGAGAGTCGTGACTATGTTATTAGACTGTTTACGACTATGTTATTGACGGACCGCTCTGGGCTCTCTGTTATTAGACTGACGCTCTGACCTACTGAGCCACACGACCGCCAAGGTTCGGGGGTGAAAGCGCCGATACCTGCATAAAAGCACTGTCTCAACCTCGGTGACTGGCCGGGCGGTGTCCATTTTCCCTTATGTCTCCACCGCATGACATTCCGATCGTCATATCTTTCCTTCACCGCATCCCCATTTGGGTTCCTCAATGTTGATAACTCTTCATTACCTTGCCGATTGCTGCCCAAGGAGGTGTCCCTCGTATCCGATTTCTTCCTAGGATTCCCCCTTTCTAACTGCCGACAATGATACGCTCGGGAGTTTTTGCAGGAGTAGGACTCGAACCACCGCATTCCGGGTCGTCGCAGATGTTGTGGTCGGCGCTCATCTCACTAGCCACGGAGGCAATCATTTCGGTTGTTGGTGCTATCTATCTGTCTGTGCGGATCGGACGGCACTGGATCCGACCTTGGTACCATTTCTTCTGGATTCCGACTTCGGTGGCCCACTATTTCCTGCGTAAGTACGAAGACATGGGCCTCGTATCCACTCTATACCCAGGTCGTTCACCAGTGGTACGTTCGGGATATAGAAAACTATAGTTCCCACGTTTCGGTCTGCCG